TGGCCAGGAGGGCTCCAGCCTCATCAGCAGCCTGTCTAACAGGGCTTTGGCACGGGCCCCTGTCCTGGTGTAGCACGGCCTCCTTGGGCTGTGCGTGCCAGTGAGGGGCCACCCTGGGCTTGGGTCTCTGGGGCGGGTCTCGCATCTTGCGCCTTGTCACATCCTCGCCTCTTTCTTCCTATTGAGGGGCGCCATGCTTGGCCAGGCGCAGCCCGATCCTCCTGGTGACGGTTAGACCAGGCGGACTTCTTCCCGCACTGTTGCTTCGGTGCCGCTGGCACCCCAGTTCGACTTCGCTTTCAGAGGTCACTCAGGCTTCCAGTTGACCCTGGTGTTGGTGGCGGGCCAAGGATGTCCGAATCAAAGAGGAGGAGGAGGAGGAGGAGGAGGAGGAGGAGGAGGAGGAGGAGGAGGAGGAGGAGGAGGGGGAGGAGGAGGGGGGGGAGGGGGAGGGGAGGAGGGAGGAGGAGGAGGAGGAGGAGGAGGAGAGGAGGAGGGGGAGGAGGAGAGGGAGGAGGGAGGCGGAGGAGGAGGCGGAGGGGAGGAGGAGGAGGAGGAGGAGGAGGCGGCGGAGGAGGGAGAGGAGGGAGAGGAGGAGGAGGAAGAAGAAGAGGAGAAGGAGGAAGGGAGGATACGCGCGCAGCAGAAGCGAACAGTCGGTCGCTCGCCCCCCGCACGGGGGCCTGGGCTCCACTTGAGGAGCCCAGGACCCCCCCGACCGCGTGGTCGTAGCTGACGACCACCTCCCTGACGGCGGACTCAACCATTTCGTCCTTGGGCCACGAGCACGAGGCGGCGTACTCGGCCAGCAGTCGTTGCTGCCGACTATCGCCGTCGCCACGTCACCGATAAAAGGCCGCCACCACGTCGAGGACGCCATCGTGCTCCGCTTTTCACAGCCGCGCACCAGGCGCTGCCCGCAGCAGCCACTCCGGCACCGCTGCAGCAACCGCTCCGCCAGGCACAGGCGTTGCCACCGCGGCCGCCCCCCCAATCGTCAGAGCCAGTGGCCACCAAGGGCGCCGCTCTCGTGAGGCCGCCGGCCCAGCCATCATCAGTCAGCTCACTCGACGCGCCGCCGTCCTGCACCATCTGCACGAGCGCGCCCCTGCCTCCGCCAGCACCCGCAGCGCCAGGCTCCATGCCAGGGGCTCCGCCAGCTCCGACGCCAGCAGCAGGCAGCCCAGCGCGCTCGGCGGCGCGCCGCTCCGCCACGCGGCGGCGGCGGCGGCGCCGACGGTTCACGTGCTCGTCGACGTGCTGGCCAGCCGTCGGTTCGCGCGGCATAGCCGCCGCAGCAGATGCCGCAGCGGCCACCGCCGCGCGGGCGACAGCACCAATGGTGCGTCGAGGAGCGCGGCCATCCAGGGCGGCGCGGACAGCGGCAGCAACCAGTGCTGCGCCGTTGGGCGTCGGGAGGGCCCCTCTTGCCCGCATAGCGGGCATCACGGCGGACGGCGGCGCGGGCATGCATCCGCTTGAGCCAAAATTGGAGGAGGTGGAGGAGGAGGGGGAGGAGGAAGGATAGTAGTAGCATCACTAAGAAAAGTACTTTCACTGATAAGATGAACAAGACAGCTTAACTTCATATTCGTAATGCTACTCATTATAATGACTTTGAGAATGCCAACCGTAAAACAGTACTACTACTAATCATCCTGACTGTATTAGCAATAACAAAAACATTGCTACTACTGATGATGACACTCATACTAGCAACACTAGCGATACTCCTGCTAATACTGCTGAGGGTACTACTGGGAATCCTTGCAACAGCGTCAATACGACTATTATGACTACTAGTGCTACTACACATGATGATACGACGAAGAACCACACTGTTACTCGTAATAGTAATAAACTGACTATTATTTTGTATAATGCCAGTCGTTATAGTAACAACGATACTAGTAACAATGTAGTACTAGTACTAATAGTCCGAACAAGAACCAGCACTAATAGTAGTAGAAGGAGGAGGAGAAGCAAGAGGAGGAGCAGGTTGAACATTAATGAACATGAAGAACAGGAAGAGAAGGAGGATGATGAGGAAGAGGAGTGGAGGTAGAGGAGGAGGACGGAGGAGGAGGAAGAGGAGGAGGATGATTATGATCAGGAGGAGGAGGACCAGTGAACCCCCAAGACGCATCAACCATGCTGGAATAAATCCTCCCTCCAAGCTCCCTCTTCATAGGGTCCTGCCAAGGTTTCATTTTCACTGAGGGAACTGCTTCGTTGGGAGACAACCCTTTGAACACCCGAAGCGTGCCAAAATACAATGTTCGGGACTCCAGCGCCACGAATCAACATGACTGCTGCGTCTTGACGATTCGGAATCGTGCCAGAACATCATTCCTGGGATTTCAACACAGCGAATCAGTGTAACTGCTGCGCCCTCACACCCTTGCATGTTTCCAAGACGCCATTTCTGGCATGTTGTCCATGGGAATCTGTGAAACTATTGCAAATGTGTAAGACGAGTGTGCGCGGCGTTCAGGCGAGAGCCACATTTTTAAACGACCCGTTTTAAAACGAATGTGCGCGGCGCTATGGCGTGAGCTACATTTCGAAAACCACCTGCCGTCAATCCGTGAAATTCTTGTAGATTTTCAGCACGAATTTGCGCGGCGCTAAGGCGAGAGCAACTTTTTGAAAACCACCCGCCCTCAGTTCGTGAAGCTCTTGCACATTCTTGAAGCGAGTGTGCGCGGCGCTAAGGCGAGAGTCACATTCTGACAACGACCCGCCCCTAAGGCGAGAGCAACTTTTTGAAAGCGACCCGCCCTCAATCCATGAAGCCCTTGCAAATTTTGGAGAAGAATGTGCGCTTTTGGAAAACCTCCCGCCCTCCATTTGTGAAACTGGTGACATTTTTTAAGCTTCAGCGTCATAAGCGGTGAGGAAGTCTCAGGCGTAACGCCCAGCCCACCCCTTCGACCGGCCCCGGGGTGCGACAGGGAGGGGTTATCGATAAGGAACTGGAATGGAGGAGGCGGAGGAGGAGGAGGGCGACGAGGAGGAGAAGGATGAGGATGAGGAGGAAGACGAAGAGGAAAAAGAGGAATATAACGAGACGCATGATGATGTACTGTGATTGTTGGGGAGGAAGGCAGGAGGACGAGAAGCCTCCACCATCTTCTCCCTCGATCCCCCAGAGCAGTTTTGGCGGTTTGGCCCAAGGGGGCTCTTGCCCGAGGAGGGGTGCGATTTGATGTGGCCGCTCGCAGAGACAGACGCCCGCCGGACGCCCGCGGCGTTCCCGCCGCGCAGAGGACCGCTGGGGACCTCACGGATCCGCTGTGGCGCCGTCGCTTGCGAAGCCGCTGGGTGTGCGTTGACATTGGCCCGCCTGGAGCGCCTCGCGAAGGCGAGCCGGGCGACGGCCTCCCCGTGCCCATCCTGAGCCCGGCGCTGGCAGGGCAGCCTGGCCTCCACACGCCTGTGGTCCTCACGTGCGGAAGAGCTCTTGACGGGGGCTCGGCCTGCGCTGCCAAGGCGCGGGGCGCCCGTGGAAGGTACCGTTCGTAAGGAGCCAAACGCCCGACGACGTGTGTGTGTGTGTGTGTTTTCAATGCGCGGCGCCACAGGGCCCGACCCTTCTGCTGGGGCCACTCTTGCGCCCCAGGGCCATCTTTTAATGTTCTCGTGGCCCGAGCACGTCCTCCTCCTCCTCCTCCTCCTCCTCCTCCTCCTCCTCTGACCCAGTCAAAAACCGAAGGATCACCGCTGGCTGACAAAAGCAGGGTGCCGGAGCTCCAGGGCTGTGGAGGGTGCCCTCCGCGAGGCGCACGCCGTGTGCTGTCGTGAGGCACAAAAGGCGCCCTCGCGCGCGGCCCCCGCTGGTGGAGCCGCGGGCCGGCTCCTGCCCGGCGGGCGGCTCACTTCTCTCCCCACATGATCGCGTCGTGAAGAAATCAGGACGGCAGGTTTTTGGGTATTTTCGGCCCCAGGTGGCCCTCGCCGGGCCTCGGGACCGTCAAGAAACGATTCAGGACGAAAAACCGGTCCCGTGGAAGGGATCGGGACTTCCAGGGGCGCCGCCTTGCAAAAAGTAGGGCGTCGCATGTCTGGGTTTCGGGTGGTGCCAGTCAGGGGCAACGCCACGGGTGTTCGGTTCTCGGCGGCTCTCCAGCGTTGGGATGCGTTCCAATGGCTGCGCCTTGCCGAGAGCGTTCCGGGGGGGGGGATGCCGGGAACGTCCCGAGCGGCCGCTGGAGACCCGAGTTCTGATCCGAAAGCCAGGGGGCAAGGTTCGGGGTGGGTAGGCTCCA